GTTCAGCATCTTAGCTGTGGAGGGCAGTGTCACTGGCCCTCATATGTGGGATCCGAACCAGAGCCCTCTGGCGTCCCAAGCCAGCTCTTAACCAACGTGCCACTCGTCTGGCCTATCTGTCTCTCACTTTTACAGACCCTTGTGATTACTTTGTGCCCACCAAAATAATCCAGGATAATATGCCAATTTTAAGGTCAGCTGATTAGCAGTCTTAATTCCATCTGCAGTCTTAATTCCTCTTTCCCATATAATCTAATACATAGGTTATGGATATCCTGGGGTGGAGGGCATTATTCTGCCTACTACACTGTGATTTTCTCCTGATTGAAATGTGTACAAATCAATGTAATAGAGAAAGCCTTGTGTGTTTGTTCATCATGGTCTGATTAATCAGTAAAGCAGGATTTCTCTTTGGGCAAAGTGCTATAGTAAATTTTGTCATGAGTGAAGGGTAGACCTTCATGTTATAAAGTGGAGAAAGACTGTTGTGAATTCAGGCCTATTCTTAGACAAACCAATTTTAGGGGAATAAAGATGTGGAAATTGAGGATGGGGAATAGGATTGATTGCTTTCAAAGTATTGGAATGGCATATCCATGACCCAGGACCCCAGTTAGATAGATGATTGTTGTTTTGGGGCAGTGGTCTCCAAACTGGGCTGATTTTATAAACCTGAGACATTTAAAGCATTGTATCACATTCCAAGGCTTTAATCCAGACCTGCTAATTCAGAAGTTCAGAAAGCAAAGACCCAAGCGATGTTTTGAAAAATTGCTTTAGCTGATTGTGATAATTAGCCAGATTAGATAACTATTGGTTTAGAAAGCAAAAGGAGTCAAATTAGGAATGATAGAAGATACTTGTGTTCACTAGCCATTTCTATTATTAGCTGATTAGTTTTGAAGGTTACAGAACATATAAATATGACCTAGAGCTTTGGCCAGTTGAAACTACTGTGTAACCTATAGATAAATCTGAAAGTATCATTATTCTCACTTCCAATTAATCACCTCCAGCCACAGAACGCTAGAACCATTGGATATTTTCCTCTTTGGACACACATACTCTGCCATTATAAGCTATGCCTTATATGAGTTTGACTTTGTTAATTTGTCATAATGTGATAAGTTATATTCTTATCCCACAGATCTAATGTAAGACTATAGTAATGTTTGTGATCACTTTGCATTTACACCAAAAGTGTGATATATAAAGTCATGGTTATATATAAAGTCATGGTTATAATTACTATTTAAAGTCTATGAACTATTAGTATATTTTCCACCCTTACAGGCAAAATATTGATATTTTGTTAGTTTAATAACCTTTCCAGAAATAAGAAGAGACACCCTTTAACAAAGTATACAGTTAATTAGGCAGGCAATGGTTAATCATTGAATACTTTGATAAGACTGAAGTGTTGCATTTCTCTGTAGATATTGCACAACAGAAAGAAACTCAGGAAGAAACTCCACCCCTGATCCAGAGTCAGGAACCTCTGAAAACCCAGGAGAATATATCACAACCCATTCACCATCCTTTAGTGTTACAAACAAACTTTGAGGAAGAAGAAGAGGAAGGAGACGAGCAAGATGGTTAGTAAACTTTTTCTCAGATTTAAAATGAGCATTCGAAAATCTCATAATATTTTCTAAATAATTGTTTAATTATTAGAGGTTTATAACGTAATATGTAAGACAGATTTGAAGAGAAAATAGCTTTCAATTAAGTGTATTAAATTCATTATGTTCTTATTTGTTCTATATCTACACATGCTTATCATTTGGATCAGAAGGTTTTTGTTGTTTGGTGACTGAGAGACAGATCTCATGTTTAAATATGTACAGTTGCTCATAGGCATACTAATAAGTTATTTATATATAACTTAACATTGATATACATGTGTGTCCATCTGTTGATTACATGATTACAATATCTGTCTCATATTTAATCCTTTAAATTACAGAGATCCATAGAGTAGTTTATAATTTGTAAAGCCCCATCAGCTGCGTTATCCCAACCAACCTTTGCAAAAGTATAAACAAGATTAGAACCTGTTCTTTTTCATCCTAGTCTATTCTATTCATGCCTAGTACATGCCAATAAGTATGTACAAACAAAATAAGCATGCAGAAAACTGACCCTCACTCTGTTTGCCCTGGAATGTGACCTCCTGTGGGGTCCAGGCCACCATCGCTTCGGTCCTCAGGGTCCTGTTTTTGTCTGCTTTAGCTCCACATCTCGCATTCCTGCACTTTCCCTCTCCAACACTGTGAGTGCAATGTGTGAATTTAGATCTCCAGCTTCTCAAGACACCTAATGTATAATTAGTCATTTCTTTTCTCTTGACTCATTCTTTCTAATATGTGAAATATAGCAATTAGAAACATTTGCCAGGTTGCAAATTATGGATTTAAAAAATAAAATAAAAATAGTAATCCACCCATGAGAACAATGTTTGGGATTTTTTATTCTGGTTTATAAGTTTTCAGATTATTTGGCTTTGGGGCAATTTAATAAAAAATATATATCCTACAGATGCTTCTGGTTTATGGACAAAGACTCCTGAAGAAATTGAAGAAAAAAGAGCAATAAGGGAGATGTGTTATAAATCTGGTAAGCAATCAGATATTTGTGGGCTTTTTAATCCTCAATGTGACAAATATACTAACCATTACTTCTCTTCTGGGAGATTAGGTGAATACTACAGGTTTCATACTCCTACAGATACTTCATCATCAAAAAGCATAGACACTGCAGAAGAAAAGGAGTTAGAAAAGTCTTTGGAAAATGGCAGGGAATTGCAAGAAGGTAAGGAATTAAAAGGCAGCATTTCAAGCTGATGCACAAGAGATACTTGATGTGATAGTCTGTGAATTTTGTAAGATGTACTCTAGAGTTAAATGATAAATACCACATCAGAATTGACAGTGAGAAGAAGTGCTTTTATCAGATGAAAAGCTGTTATTAATATAATCATGCTTTCCCAGAGGAGCCACAAAATGAATAGACTTCATAAACACGTGGTGACACTACACACCCCTGGCAGTCATTCTGTAAATAATTGGATTTTACTGTTTTGTCTGTGAAAATAAATCTCCCTGTGAAATGGGTGTAGATTTGTCTTTATGAGTAAAAAGGACAGTGTAACCCTAGAAGGACACCAGATAGGTCACAGAATGATGTTAGTGGCAGAACAAGGGCACATTTGCTTATCGAATGAGTGCCTTCCGTGTTTCAGGCAATTTCGGGGGCAACGCAGGTGGGGAATCCAAGACTGTGCCTTTCATGGATCTTATATTTCGGTGAATCTGATTTTGCTCTTGGTGAACAATTTTTCCCTTGAAGGCAAAATAAGAACATTGTTTTCTGGATATAAAACCAGGAACTCAGAAAAATCCATGGATGCCGTAAGTTCATATAGTTTTCTTGCCCCTAGGATGAGCTGAAAGACAAGTTTTGTCATGGTGGGAGAGATTGGGATCCCTTCCTAACCCTTAAAAAAAAAAATCTCCCAGGATCACAATGAGCATAATAGGATAAAGAATAAACTACCTGCTTTGCAAGTGCATATGTGGCAAACCATTGAAACATATGGTGGGAGATCCCAGGAACATACCATTGGATAGTAGAACAATCAGAAAGAACTGGCTGATAGGTGGGAGCCATCTAGGGAAGGACAGCATGGCCCACATTACATACAAACACACCATCACAACAACAAAAAAACCCAGAACAACAACAAACCAAAAACAAAGCAAACAAGTTAACAATGAATATTGCAAATGGTAGATTATAAAGACAATTATATGCAATTTTGCTTTATATTATGGTTTTTAAAGCTTTTTATTTTTAAATAATTTCAGTCAATTCATGAGCACCCTTTATTCAGATTTCCCACCTCTTAGCATTTTACACATGTGATTTTTCTCTTTCTCTCTAAATATACACAGTGTTGTTATTACTTTTGAACTGTTTGAGAGTAAGGTTCAGTCATGCTGCCCCTACATAAATCTTACATAACTGTAGTATAAATATCAAAATCAGGAAATTGTCACGGACACAGTATTATATTATTTATAGACTTTTCTTTTTCTTTTTTACAAATTTCACCAATTGTGCCATCAATTCCTTTATAGCAAAATGAAGTTTTTCTCCTGGTTTAAAATCCAATCCTGAATCATGTGTTTCATTAGATTGTCACATTTCTTTTATCCTGCTTTTAAAGTTATTTTAGAAGAAAATTAGAGATGTGTAAGGAAAATTGTGAGAATTATTTATCACTGTATGATTAGCATGTTTAAGCCAATAGTAGACTTTAATACTTTTTTACTCAATTTGTCCATAGTAAATATATATAAACAAATAAACATTACAAAATTAATTATATAAAAATTAAATAAGCTAAATATGTTATATCCTCGTGATAGTGTTAGATTGCTTAAATTTTAAATTGCCTTTTTATAAATTATCCACATAGGAAAATAAATGTTTGATGCTTTCCTGGTAATTATAAAATTTGCTTAAAATTCAAGTATTTATAAATTTATTATTCATCATATCACTATAAACAATACTTGCATTAACTTTTAGGCTTTTTATTATCATCATGAACTCTGTCATAAACTTTTGTTAAGTACTTAATGGTTCCTAGAATGATTTTTATTTTTATTTTTTATTTCTAGGAGATGGTGTTACAGTTCCAACAAAATTCAGCCTTTCTGAAAAGCAGGGGGAGATGAAAGCATCATTGGATGGGAAACCAAGGACTGACATTGCTGCTTTTGAAAATGGAGGTGAGTTATTTCATTAGTGGTTGATTCAGTATATATCATCATATAATAAGTGAGTCTGAATTTTCTCTCATAACTAATTTTGTTTTGTCAAAATCTTTTTGACATTTTTGTTAATGGCTTTGGGTAAACTCTTTAAGGCCAGGAAGTATATATAATCACTTGCCATAGGTGAATCCCTGTAGTAGAATGTCTGGCAATTAATGTGCGCTCTGTAAGTATTTGTAGAATAAATGACTTTATGTTTAAACAATTAAATGACTGGATGGATGGAGAAATGTTTACAAAATTTACAGGTGACTGGAAGTTAATATGCTGGAACAATAAACCAAATTTAATAAGGTAAATAAACTCAACCTGGGATAAACAAAGTCTTCATTTAAGATCAAGACAATGTTAGATATTCTTCAAGTTGGCAAAGTCCTTACGTGATATAGATTATGAGGAAAAAAATAAATGTTTTTAGCCACAAGCTTTCAAAATGATTCAGTAATGTGTTTAGCTAACAAATAACTAAGGTAAACTCATATTGACTTATTAAGAGTAGTACAGGAAGATAATTAAATGTGGTAAGTCATTTAGAGTACTCAGCAGAGTGTCTGACATATAGAATAATGCTCCATAAATGTCAAATATTATTATACTAGTTTCACTGATTTCTATACAGGGCAGTCTACATTTGGATGTCACCTTTAATAAAGGTTACCTGAAACAATTCTTTTATGTTAAGTGACTTGTGTGGTAAAGCATCTGGAAATTAAGTTACATAAATAATATTTAATGCAGCTGTCGAGTATAGAAGACCTTTAAGGAACATAAAAACTACTTTCATATATCTGAAGATATTATATGAAAGATAAATTATATTTACATTGAATATCTCTAAATGGTGGTAAAGAGTGGAAGCAAACATTGTTATAAGTTAAAGGAAAATTAGTTGTGTTGACTGTAAATTTTCTTGCTTATCAATATGTAAGTGTATACATACTGTATATTCATATTCATATATATGCACATGTATTAATCTAAATATATATGATATATATTGAGATGGGGATGGTATCACTGGAAAGTATTTAAACAAAAGTGGACAAAAGGGATATTGTAGAGGAGGGTAACCCTGTATTAAAAGATAGTTGTACAACTTTCTGCCATCAATGCCATTGACACTAAAGTATTTTTATAGGAGGTGATTGTTACGTTCCACAGAGGATCATATTTCTTGAAGTAGATGAAAATCAACCTTTAACTGAAGAAAAAGAAATCACCATGTCAAAATATTCAAGTACTAAAGGTAATAGACCATTTATGATTTTAATCAATCTTTAATTTGGATCGATACATTAAGCATAAAGCTTGATTGTAATGGGCAAGGTAATTGATGCAATAGGCAAAGTAATAAATAAAGTCAAAAGCCCTAAGATTCCAGCCTGGCTACATCCCTAATTGATTGACCATGAGACCTTACCTAATTAGCCTGAAAAATTAGTCTGTTGGGCTATACCATTACTAGGAGTCTTGCTAGCTCTAAAGTTATTGGTTTTCTTACATAGTAATATCAAGTCATTTTCAGTTTCTTTTTCCAACTTCAAATACTCAGTACACATATGATTGAATTTTCTTAGAAAGCCTTGTGAACACTGTGAAGAGTTTTAATCTCATGATGACTTCACATTTAATAATTATTACTATCACCAGTGAATAATCCAGAGCTATGCTAATAAAATACACCCTCTATAGTTTTATGCTGCTTAGAATCCCCCAACTGGTACCTCTCTGCTGGGCGGCTCTCTTAATTACAGACTAAAAGTACAGCTGTCCTGTCATTAGAGGGCATCACATAGCCTCCATCCAATATTAACCAATTTAAACTACTGTTTTCCCATGAATAAATGTTCTTAAGAATAGGAAAAGGCACTGGTAAGGAAACTAAAAGATTCTAATGGAAAATTATATGTAAATCTTTCTTCTCTCTCTCTCACTTAGAGATGGAAACCTTCTGCCCAAGCCATCAAAAAATAAAATTAAAACAAAAACTAAAGCTACACTAATAACAGTACCCACCATCCACATGTGGCTGTTTAAATTTACGTTAATTAAAATTTAATAAAACAAAAAATTCAACTCTTCAGTTGCACTAGCCATATCTCAGGTGTTCAATATCTACATGTGACCAGCGGCTATCATTTCAGACAACACAGAGTTAAATTGTTTTCATCATTGTAGAAAGCTCTGTTGAGCAGCCCTGCTCTAAAGCATAGAACAAATGAAAGTTGTTACATTTAAACTATTTTTGGAACCTCAATTTAAATTGGCACATTTGATGTAAAATTGATAATCTTTTAATTATTGTATATGGAGTTATTAAAGATATTGCCAAATATGTATAACTTACATATTGAAGACAAGGCTATATTTCTGGATTTTTCATGTTTTGTTAGTAACAAAATTTGGGGACTCAGTGCAATCATTAGGGCATTTCAGTAATGCGTTCTAAAAAGTAATACACATACATATATTGTAAAGAGGTATGCCCATCATAGAATGTTTGAAAAGTGAAATACCAACTGAGACACTTCTTTTATTAATTAATACTGACATTTTATTTTCTTAATTTGCTTTAAAAGATAACAAGGACAGCCCTCATCCAAAGCGTTCCCTTACTACCCGACTAGTACCTACAGCGCATGTATTAAATGCTACTGAGAATATCAGTATGAAGTGCAGAGAGGACCCCTCTTCAAGTGAGAGCTCTATCTCTTTTGGGCCTTAGAAATATTTATCTTATCATGGATTTGTTTTGCTTATTTGAAATATAATTTTTTTAGAAGAAAAAAGATGGTTTAAAAGTTATTCAGGATTAAGAATTAAAGACAATATTTTTCTACTAACTCTGGCAATGAATTGTGATGTAGGTCCTAGTAAATAACATATTTTCCCACTATTTTAATTGAGGTATTAAAATTAAGAACATACTGCCTTCTCAAAAGATTCATTAGTATTGCATTTTAATTTAACCCATATTGGAATACATTGATGTGTTTTTATTATGTTTTGGATTTTTTCTTGATTTGACTTCTCCTCTCCATTTAGTACTTTGAGCTACTTTTCTTGATGCATGAAGACTTGTGAATCTTTCTCTCCATTTCTCTTCATCCTCCTTTCCCTTATTTTATTTATTGAACCCATATAATATTCTTGGATCCCAGCTAAGCACTAAGGGAACTATGATGGTTTACCCCCAAGAAGCTCAGTTTAGTGGCACTTGTTAAAAATAAGATTTCCAAATCCGAGGAGTGGTAGCTTGAGAGTAAGGGTGGAGCATCTTGTTTGGAGAGGAGGCAGTAATCAATTTCTTTGAAGCCCTGATGCTTACGCTGAGAGCTATGATAGACAGCGAATGTAACCTACATAGTGCATATCCGGTTCATTTTCTCTGCACATTAGTTGTGCATGTTCAGGATCTCTGCACAGAGAAATAACAAAAAATGCCCCTCTATACGAAATTGTTTAAAGATTCTCTGGAGAAATGTATCTTAAAAATTCCTGGAAAACTGAGTATGCATATAACATTTTTGATGAAAAAACATGCAAGTAAAAAGTGAATAATTTAGTGATGTTAGCACTTACAGATTCTGATTATTCAGTCTTGTTTCACCAAACTATCTGTACACAAAGCTTGTTAAGATCTTAAAAGGTTAAGGAAAAGTCACTGAAAGTATTTTACGTTAATCCAACTTCTTAAGTAGTAGTAGTTTTGGGTAAAAATGTACAAAAAGATTTACGTTCAAAATAATTCTAAAACTACATAAAGTAACATTGTAATGAGAGATAGACATAATTATATTTGGAATGTAATTTTATGTTCTTTTAAGTGAATCTACACGTTCCTTTGAAGAAAAGCATTTTTCTCTGAGGAATGCTACTTATAGAAAGTTTTCTCATCTATTTTCAAGATAGATTTCTTTTTTTGGTAGTTAAAAATAAATCACCCTTTGTTCTAGAAATTAAAGTATTAGGGTGTTGAATTTATTTTTTCTCTTACTTGACATGTGAATGCACAGATATGTAATTATCAATACAGTAATTTTCAGATGCAAGCATCTCTTTAAAAAACTGTAACAATTTGTATCTCCTCTAAGTGAATAATGTCCAGCCAGTGAGGAAGCCTCATTTTAAAGGCATGAAAAAAAGAAAATGGATTTATGATGAACCGAAGAACTTTCCCAGCCCAGGAATGCGGAGAGGTATGGTGTCTATATATTTGATATTCCTAAATTATAACTTGAAAAGAGATTAAATATCAAATAACATTTTATACCTGAAAAACAAATCACCATTGTGTAATATGTTATTTTAGATATCAACTCAACTCCAATAAACTTAGTTCTTTTAGCTTGCATTGTCTTCGACTGTGCTATGAAACACTTAAAGTACAGTATGTTATTTAGAGTATGAAACCAGCTCGTTTTATCCCTCCTTTTCTCCTTTCTTTTATAGCAGTACAGGCCCCAAATCCTAAAAGTAAAATGAGTTACCATCGCAACAATAAAACCAGAAATGCTGAAAATGCATCTTCTATCCGTGTTCAGAGCGAAGCTGTCAAGACTGTCTCATTAAATGCACCTCACCGTAGCAGGCCCACAAATGGGTTCTCCAATCAGGTCCACGTTCACAAGGAACCCAAACTCCACCTCTGTCCAGGTGAAGCTCCTTACTTATATGGTTCACTCATGTCTGTGGTTTGCATTCTCATGGAATTTCCTAATGCCCCAACTCATCTTCATTGCTGCCTGCTCCCCTCTTCCTTTTCCAAGCCATCACCACTACCTTAGAAAACCTGTGAGAGCATTTCTTCCATGTGAAATCGTGCACATGATTTAAAGGATATGGAGGAAAACATGTTGGCGCAGATGACTTGACATTGAACCTCCCTAGAGCTTTTCTTCAGAGCGCTGCACTTTGTTCCCCCTCGATAGCTTTATTTCACTCTTGAGGATTATTTTCAAGTAGTCGACATTTTCTTGTTCCACTAACTGCATTGTTCAATTATCACTTTCAAGCGAATGCCTTGGCTTTTCTTTAGACCTTCATGGTTCCTTTCTGAAAAGGTTAGTTTGCGGGTTAACTGAAATATTTTTGACAACCGCTCATCTCTCCCACCATGGAAAGATTGCTTCTAACTCATTTCAGCGTGTAATAGCCAAAATCATAGTATATGTCAGGAAGTACAAGGCCACAAGGGAGGAGGGAATCAAATCTCATTTTCTTCCTGTCTCACGAATTTTGCTCTTTTGAAGGTGGGTTTCACATTTCTCACTTAACAAAACGCCACTCAATCCCTGTCGTTTCATGTTTATATTCATTCACAGTCTAGTTAGTGGGGTACTGAATGTTGTGTACTTTGTAAAACTTAAGTAAAAACTGTGTCTCTTTTATGTCCTTTCTTTTATAATTCAAATAGAAGTTAGCTTTATTTAAAATGTTTTTCTTCTATTTGTTTTTGAATAGAATGATGTATGAATTTATATATAAAAATAAGGAGATTCTTAGGTGAAATTGACTTTTTTTGTTTTTTAAAGATTTAATGGGGAGAATCGGGGAAGGGGAACAGACAAGTTGCTGTCCTTTTGTTCTTCAGTCTAGTTGTGGAGGATATTGCTTCACTAGCCCATGTTGGTATTATCATTGCGCTCTTCCAGGGTGAGGCAGTCACTCGCCGGCCATTGAACGGCTGCTTATGGCAGCTCACAGTAGCTCACACCTGCTGCCAGCCAGCCCCACTGCAGCCTACGCCATTGCCGGCGACTCACGGCAGTCCAGCTCCGGGTTGAGCTGTTGTTCACCATCTTAGCTGTAGAGGGTGCAGCGTCACTGGCCCTCATGTGGGATCCGAACCGGGACCCTGCTGCTCAGAGCTGGCATCCCAAGCCAACTCCTAACCAAAGCGCCACTCGGCTGGCCCTGAAATTGGCTTTTAGTTTTATTTCTTACTATTATTATTTTATTATTAATTTCATTATTATTTTACTATGAGTAGATGGCTGTGCACAATACAATGACTACCAGAATAGTTTGGTGCCATTGTCTACATTTGTGTTAAGGTGGTTGTGGTTACACTTATTATTGCTTTTGCATTATTAGTGAAAATGTTAGCACAGTGAAAACAGCAAATAAATTTTTAGTATTGTTATGGACCAGGCTTTGAGAATCACAGCTGCATAGTAATATTATACTTGAAAACACAAATACAACATTGTTAGATAATAGTTCAAATATAGAGCTGTTAGAGGAACTCAGTATATAAATGCTTTGGTTTCCTGGGACAGTGAGTTCATTACAGCAGGGCAGTCACTGCCATCATGGGAGTCACTTCGTGAAAGGAAAAGGGAACAGGAATGTACCTCCTAGGTCTCCTTCCTTCCTTCCCTCCCTCCCTCCCTTACTGCCTCCCTCCCTTCCTCCCTCCCTCCATCCCTCCCTCCCTTCTTCCCTTCTTCCCTTCTTTCCTTCCTCCCTTCATTCCTCCCTCCCTTCCTTTCTTCCTTCCTCCCTTTCTTTTCTTCTAACTCTACAAATATTAGCAGAATTATATGTAAAATCATTGTAAAGCAAGGCAATTAAATATTTTGATCACATCTAGAAACCATACCTTCCTCTAGCTGAGTGTCATGGAAGAGAGCCTTATTTGAGGACATTAACAGCCAATGAAGAGATGTGTAACCCTATTCGTTGATAACTTAAATAGTCTTAATAAATTCACTTGTGTTCCTGATCCCTTAGCTTTGAAATGGTAAAATGAATTACTTAGAGAATAAATTCACCTTGCGATGTTTATAACTTTGAAAACTCCTGGAATATGATTTTAAAGTTATACAATATTTAATTTCAATCTTCTTTTTTTCCCAGATAAATATATGTCAACGTCATATAATGGTTCAGCCTGGCGAAAAAGAATTCCTTTTTCAAAAACATATTCAAAAACTGAAAAGTTATATATAGGTAAATATTTATTAGTGATCTTAATGTATCATACAATTCTAAAACTGAATGACAAGTTTTTAAGCCCAAGGAACATATTTTAGAAAATTTAGAAAATTTTCATGATATAAGTGAACATAATTACTTGGAGTTTAGTAGATCTATTTTTAAAAAAAAATTTATTAAAAGTATCGCTAACATGCAACATTATATCAGTTTCAGGTGTACATCATAATTGTTCAACATTTTATATGCCTGAAGAAGTGATCTCCATGATAAGTCTGGCAACTATCTGACACCATACCATTACTGTCACAATATTAGTGACTATATTCTCTATGCTGTACATTACGTCCCCATTGACTTACTTGTTTTATACCTGGAAATTTGAACCTTTTATTCCCCTTTACCTTCCCCCCCATTTTAATTTTTCAATTACAGTTGACATTCAACATTATTTTATATTAATGTGAAGTGTACAGTACAGTGGATAGACATTTATATAATTTAAGAAGTGATTCCCCTGATTAGTCTAGTACCCACCTGGCACTATATATACTTATTACTATATTATTAGCTATATTCCCTATGCTGTACTTTACATCCCCATGACTATTTGTAACTACTAATTTGTACTTGTTCATCCCTTCACCTTTTTCACCCTGTCCCCCAAACTCCCTCCCATGTATCACCCTGATATATCTAGTACCCATCTGACACCATACATAGTTATTACAATATTATTGAGTTTATTCCTTATACTATACCCTACATCCCCATGACTACCTTGTAACAAACAATTTGTACTTCTTAATCCCTTCCCCTTTTTTCACCCACTCCCTCAACCCCCTCCCATCTGGAAGCCATCAAAATGTCCTCTATATCTATGAGTATGTTTCTGTTTTGTTTCTTTGTTTATTTTGTTCTTTAGATTCCACATATAAGTGAAATCACATTGCATCTATCTTTCTATGACATACTGCTCTCAGCACAGTACCCTCCAGGTCCATCCCTGCCACTACAGATGGCAAGAAGCCATTCCCTCAGGTTCACGGCCAAGCAATATTCCACTGTATATATGTACTGCCTCCTCTTTATCCTTTCATCCATCTATGGACACCCAGGCTGCCTCCACATCTTGGCCATTGTAAACAATGCTGCAATGAACATATGGATGCACACGTCCCCTGGAATTAGCATTTTGGGTTTCTTCAAATAAATACCCAAAAGTGGGATTACTGGGTTCTTCTTTGTCTCTTACTATAGCCTTTGTTGTAAAGTCTATTTTGTCTGGTATAAGTATTGTTACCCCAACTTGTACTTTTTTTATTTTTCCATTTTCATTTTCATCTTCATGAAATAACTTTTTTTCATCCCTTTACTTTCAGTCTGTTTGTGTCTTTCAATCTGAAGTGAGTCTCTTGCAGGCAGCATATGTAAGGGTTTTGTTTTCTTATCCATTCAGCCACCCTTTGTTTTGATTGGAGCATTTAATTCATTTACCTTGAAAGTATTACCTTGAAAGTAATTGTTGATAGATACATAGTTATTGCCATTTTATTATTCATATTATATATATGAAGTCTCTCTAACATTCTTTGTAATAGTGGTTTGGTGGTGATGAACTCCCTTAGCTTTTTCTTGTCTGGGAAGCTCTTTATCTGTCCTTTGATTTTAAATGATAGCTTTGTTGGGTAGAGTAGTCTTGGTTGTAGATCCTTGCTTTTCATCACTTTGAATATTTTTTGCCAATTCCTTCTGGCCTGTAAAGTTTCTCTTGAGAAATCAGCTGACAATCTTAAGGATGCTCCCTTTTAAGGTACTGGTTGCCTTTCTTTTTCTGATTTTAGGATTCTCTCTTTGTCTTTAACCTTTGCTATTTTAATTATAATGTGTCTAGGTGTGGGCCTGTTTGGGTTAATCTTGTTTGGGACCCTCTTCACTTTCCTGGTCTTGTATGTCTGTTTCCTTTACCAGGTTAGGAAAATTTTCAGTCATTATTTCTTCAAATAGGTTTTCAATCCTTTGCTTTCTCTCTTCTCCTGGTACCCCTATGATGTGAATGTTGTTACGCTTGATGCTGTCCCAGAGATCTCTTAATCTATCCTAATTTTTTTAAGTCTTTTTTTCTTTTGCTGTTCCAATGGGATGTTTTCTGCTACCTTTCTTCCAAATCACTGATTCAATCCTCTGCTTCATGTAGACTGCTGGTGATTCCTTCTAGCACATTCTTTTTATTTATTTATTTTTCAATTGGGGTATTGGGGACGGGGACCAGCCAAGTTGTTGCTCTTAGTTGTGGAGAGTACCAGTCACCACCTGGCTGCGCATCAGCAGCTTGTGGCCTCTAAGCTCAATGTGATATGTTCAGTCTTAGTTGCAATTGGGCATAGCCACCATCCCATGAGGGACTCGAACCAGCAGCCTTGTTGTTAAGAGCGCATGCTTTATCCACTGAGCCATCTGGGTGGCAGCTCAGCTCAAAGTGCCGAGTTCAGTCTTAGTTGCAGGTGGGTGTAGCCCACCATCAAACAGGAAGTCTTGTTGTTAGAAGCATGTGCTCTCACCAACTAAGCCATCCTGCCACCTGTTGGCAGCTCAGTGGTAGCTCAGCTTGGGTGCAGCGTCACTGGCCCATGTGGGAATCAAACTGGCGGCCCTCTTGCTCAGAGCTCATGCTCTTAAGCTAACTCTTAACCAACTGAGCCACTTGGCTGGCCCATAGCACATTCTTCATTTCAGTTATTTTCTTCATTTCTGAATGGTTCTTTTTTATGATTTCTGTGTCTTTTTTTATGCTTGCTATCTCTTTGTTGAAGTTCTAAGTTCATTGAGTATCTTTATAACCATTGTTTTGAACTCCATATCTGGTACGTTGCTTTCCTCTGTTTTGTTTAGTTCTTTTTCTGGAGTTTCCTCCTGTTCTTTCATTCGGGACATATTTCTTTGTTTCCTCATTTTGGCTGCCTCCCTGAGTTCGTTTTATTAGGTAGAGCTGTTAAGTCTCCCAGCCTTTCTGGGTAGCTTTATGTAATAGGGGTCCTGTGGGGCCCAGTGGCCCAGTCTCCCTGATCACCTGCACTGGGTGTTCCAGGAGTGTCCCTTGTGTGAGTTGTGTGTGCCCTCCTGTTAGTTACAGTTGAGCCTTGCTTGCTATTAGCAAGTCAGTGGGTGGCATTGGCCCTTAGGCTTATTGGCTGTGGAGTTTGGCCATGACCACAGCTTATGGGCTGCTGTGCGGGGGGCTTACCCCAAGGAGAGAGATTCACCCCAGTGGGCTCTGGTGCCTGTTGAGATGACCCTTTGTGTGTGCCACTTGTTGAGCTAGTTGGGTGGTGTTCTGCTGTGGTCTGAAGCTAACCTCCAAGTATGTTGGTCCCTAGGGACTTGTGAGAGGGGCTTTGTTGCAGGCCCAGGTCAGCCACTGCCTGTGACTGGCAGGGGACTACCTGGTAGTAGCTACAAAGTGATCCACAGTTGATTGCTGCCTGTGCTCCACCTGGAGGCCTATAGAAGAGGCCACGCTGCAAACTGAGGACAGCTGCCACCAGTACTGGGCCTGGGGTAGCTCCACAAAAAGCCAGGACGTGTTGAGGGCTGCTGCCACCTGCTGGCTACCATAAGGTTTAGCTGCCGATAAAGCCTCATGTGGTTCAAAGTTGGGTGAGTCAGGGTCTCAGTGAATCAGCAGATTAGAGCAGCAGAGCTCACAGGCCAATCAGACTCAGATTTAGCCTGTGGGGGCGGGCTCAACACAGGAAAGACGGCGCCCACCTGCACAGGCATAGGACCCCACACTGGGCCAGTGAGGACTGTCCCTCCAGCCTTCACTTGCAGCCACACTCCTTGGTCTGCTTCCCGTTCATCTCCGAGGTCCTCCGAGTCATTGTCCCTCCACCAGAGCCCAGGGTAAGTGCCTGCTTGGGCCCTTAAAGAGGACATCTAGGTTTCCCACAGCCTCCCATCCCATCCAGACTATTGGAATCCCCACTATTTTTCACGGCCAGATGTTGTGAGGGCTCCTCGTCTCAGCACCACTTTTCCAGGTTGGTGGGGCTTGGTGTGGGGCTTGCAGTCCCTTGCTTCTCCATGGGGAACCTCTGTGGCCAAGATATCCCTCCCAACTTTCCTCCCGCACACAGAGGTTTGAGGCTGGCTCCGTTTTGTATCTCCGCCCGTCCTACCAGTCCTAATGTGGCTTCTTCTTTATATCCTTGGTTATAAAACATCTGTTCAGCTAGACTTCAGATGGTTCTCCAGGTTGATTGTTCTATAATTTAGTTGTTTTTTTTGTGGGTTCACAGGATGAGGCAAACACAGCATTTATCTACTCTGCCATTTTGGATCTCCAAGTTTAGTAGTACTTTGTCTACTAGCAATTTAACTTTACTTTGTTTTATTGTGTTCTCTTTTACCTATTCTTATTGTTATCAGAATCTTTTGGTATATTTCTCTCTTTAGCTCCAAATGTAGCAGTTGCAGCAATTATATGTTAAGATGCATTTTTGATTGAACTACAAAGCAAATATATACAACAGTATTTTGACACAAAGTATTAAAGCCCTACTATATCTACCACAGACAAATATTGGTTGGTAGAGACTGTCAGGGCCTCTAAGATGAAGTTTCCAGGCCACGAAGTTTAGAGAGACTATGGTCTCCCTCTTGTTGTGCTCTGTTCTCTGGGAGGGTGTGGGGATCTTGGGAACCTCACCAGGATAGAGGTTTGTAGCACACTTGACCTCAGTTTGTTCTTTTGCTAAAAACCTTAGTATCTTCTCCTAGTTATCCTGGGGCTGGCTCAGTGGGTTTGGAAAAACCACACAGGATAAATTGATGGTTTCAGTACTTCTCAGAAACCTGAACCTTTCAGAAAAAGTTCTAGATAGGGAGTCCCTGCCTAAATCAGTAGCCTAGAACTTGCAGAATCATCTGGAATCCATATGCTCTGATACAAGAGCTTCCCAGAATGAACCAGAACATATCCAGACTAGAAACGGTTCCTTTTCCAAAATAAATACCTGGGATCTTCTAAGGCAATATTTCTCTAAACTCTTTTGACTGCAACTGTGACATAATATACAGACTTGTATATGTAGTTATGTACTGGAGTCAATTGCTTATTTTTTCCCCCATCTCTCCCCAAAACATATTGTACTTCAAGAGAACTTTGCTGTAGCATGATTCAATTGACTATAGTTTCTCTTAACTTCGTATGGGTTTTCACATGTTGTTGTACTTAATTTGGGGGTGAAGGAGGTGAAAAGTCGATGAAAATCCTGACTAAAACTACAAATTGTCGAGCCACATCTTTTTCTCCCATGGTTTCCTTGTGGGTGGGATACTTTTTGGAGTTTTGAAGGATGTGCTCCCCACCCCTGCCCCATCCCAGTGACCGTTCTTGTATCCCAGCAGCCTTCTCCCCACCCCTCCCAGATAGTTAAACATGAGTTGCAGAAGGACTTGGGGGAGGAAGGTTCACTTCAGAACATGAAACATGTACCATCCATGTATGGCACAGGAAAGGGGTTTTGACAGGAGATGTGAGCCGCTGAAACCACTTTTTTCTTTCAATCTGAAGAGTAATGAGGAAAGTATGGAGTGGCAGCAAGAGGCCAGATACAGTGTGGAGCCACTTATTAGGCACAATTCTCCCACCACCTCCAGCTATGCTAGACCCCAGACATAGAAAGATCAATGATAGAATTCCCCTTGAAGTTTATAAGAATCTGAGCATAAAGAGGATCTGCATCGCACTTCTCAAATGCAACCTGGGGGAAGGGCCAGCCATGTGTAACATGAGAGGGCTGGAGATAGCCTCTTGAGATTTCCAAACTCGAAGGTTTCTTAAGAGCACATCATATATCCTGTGAGATTCCAGTCAGAATGAGCACCTGGATGAAAGGACCAGTAGATCTACACAAAATCTCCTGGCTGGGAGTGACTGAGGGGATGACATCAGAAAGATGCTTTAGTGGGGGGACCCTATTGGAGGGGAAGGCTCAGCTGGAATCTCAACAGATTGCTCTGCTAGGGAGTTGATGAGAAGCCATCATCATCTATCAATCAAACCCTTGTTACTTGAAGTACGACCTGAGCACCACCAGCAATGACATCATCTGGGAGCTCATTAGAAATGTGGAATCTCCATCTCGTACCTGCTGAATCAGAATCTGCATTTTAACAAGAGCCCCAAGTGATTAGGAGGCACATTAAAATTTGAGAAACCTTAGACTATGTTATCTGGACCACCATTCACCTCAGCCCATGACCCAGATCTTGTTGAGGCACAAGATTGTTGAGATGACATTCTCTTCCTAGTTGTCACAGCAACAACCATCCTCCCCTATCCCAATCCTAGAAATTGGGATAAGCAGCAGGGAGGTGGGGGAGGGAGAAAAACCCTGAGAAAGAATATCAAATCTAAATGTAATTAAAATAGAAATGTGAAATAACTAAGAAATCACTGAATTTAACAAAGTGTATATGCAAAGGACCAGATAAGTTTTCTACATCAGGCAGCATGGGATTTACAGTAAAAAAAATTACAATTATAACAAAATGAAATTAGCTTTTGTATTACCTGAGCTATAGACTGGGAAACTCATAACTCCTAGACTCTTATCCTTTCCAATTGTTTTCATCACCAGAATAAGAGAAAGATTAGCTTGTATTTCCTCCCTGGTACTTCCTGCTAGGGCACAGAGAAGTGACATAAGCATTACCCAGTGGACAGATGGACTGCCACTAGTCTATTCCTCCAAGAAATATCTAGGTACCGAGGCCACAGAAGTATAAATGGATGAGAGGAGCCTTTTGGGAAAATGTCATTGAGTACTATAAGGATAATGCAATAGGAGAGAAAAATGTGTCTTTGGGAATTGTGGGAAGAATCTGAAGACAATTAGAGGTGTCATTCTCATTGCTAGCCTTCCCTTGGGGCCACATGTCCTTTCTGATAGGGATATAACTGATGTGACTGGAGGTGCCTATCTCTTAAGATGAAACATTTATTCTGTTCATTCTGAGTGCCCCATGGTGCAGCTTTATATATAGTGTTATTTCCAATCCATCCATCCCTCCCTCCAATTCAAAACACAGTAAGCTTCGGAAAGAAGTAGGATTAGATTGAATGGCATTTTGAAAACTTATGAATTAAAACAATGGCTCACTATTTGTTTTGCCTTTAGATTTATGGTAAATAATTAGCAAAAGACATGCAAAATGTTGGTACCCTGAAGAATGATGGAAAAGAAAATAATTGCAATAATTTGTGTGTTTTATTAGAGCCAAGAAGAAATGGGAGCAAGTAAACCTGGAGATTGAGAGAAGAGAAAAATGAGAAAAGAGGAAAGTGCCAAACATCATCTGATTTACAATCAAAAATGAAAAGTCAAAGGATGAGATATTCAAGTACTGCATACTGTATACTGGGTAGTCAAAGATGATAAAATGCAAATTCTGAAAATAAGGTGCAGGAAGTACATTGTGCTGTTTCAAAACTGATAAAAATGTAAATTGCAAACAGCTGCCTGTGTATTTATATAGGTCTGGAATTCATTTGATGCATTACCACAAACATTTAATAAAATTTGAAAGTTTGACAATTAAAATCATTCTTTAATTGTAAACTAAGTTGGATTGCACAGATTGAGGAGTGAAATTGTGTCTTTGATCTCTGTTTTGCAATATTCTTTATGGAAGAAACCTCCCATTTTCTTTCTGTCCCTAAGTTTTAAGCTGGGCCTTCAGTAATAATAACAGATAAAGTGTAAAAAAATTCAGTGCAGTCCCAGGGTTACAGCTTGGTGATGAGTATGTTAGAGGAATTCCAATAGAAATACACTTTGATGTGTTGTAGAGACAGATTGGTTTATTATGCACTGCAGTTGCTGAACAATGTCTTATAATTGACAACTACAAAATCTCTCTGCTGAGATATGCTACATTCAATACTGAAAAACAAACATTTTCTTACTGTGTAAACAAAAATTATACAACCGCATTTGAGAAAAAGACTTGTTAAAGGGGAAAAATGTGAATTAATAATCTGTTGTCCCAAAAGTCTTTGTGAGGTTTTAAGCCTTTTATAACTCCAGAAATATAAATGCTTACAAATGTAGGCGAAACATCATTGAAAACTTATTTCCATTTCTTTTGCACTTGTTTAGAATTGTGTATCTTGAATAATATTTTTAATTTAATTTTTAAAATTGCATCTGCAGAGTGACTGAAACAAAAACTTAAAATTAAAAATGTATTCTTCACATGTAAAGACAAATATGAGAACAGTGTAAGTAATTAATTTGTCAAATGATGTTTTTGTAAGTTTGTAGCCTTAGTACTTCTGAGTTCATTAAAGCTCAAAACTTCACTAAGACTTGGGACATCTTGTGGTTATTGGTAGTCTCTTGTTTAATATTTATTGGAGGTGGGGATCAGGGTTCTTAGAAACTTTTTACTTTAAAACATTTTATAAGATATGATTCCAGCTTGTAGCGTAATAAACCTAGTTTCTGGCTTCTAATGGTGCTCTCTCTACCCACTTTCAAAAACATGAGGATCTAGTCATTTTGTGTTCACAAATAGAGTAAATAGAAATGAAAACTGTGCCAGCAAAATACCTTCCTGAGATAGATTTGAGAGGGATGCAAGAAAAGAGCTGAGTTGAAAAGCTGTCTGGATGGAGGCTCATAGGAAACATCCTATATTTCCACTTAACAAATAGATCTGTGGCTTTCCAAAGTTTCAACTAGTGATGGAGAAGGAAGAGTTCTAAGAAGGCAATTCACAACATTTTTCTTGAGGTACAGATTCTTAGTCTGTATCTTTATTACATCCTCACTAAACCATCAGTGAGGAATGAAAAAAAAAAAACGTGAAGGAGTGCTTGAATGTCATTCTTCTGAATGTGTTTGTTATTGCCCAATACATGGACATTTTTATTATGATAAATTTTGTCTGAAGGACCAAGTAAATGATGGAATTAACCAACGTATTTTTATATGTGTGATTTAGGGAAGAGGTAATTGGTTTAAATGGGATAAACTAGTAATGGGGAAGAAAGAAGATAACAAATCCGATCTAAAATAAGAAAAGATAGAGGGTGACAAAAGATAAGTAGACAACCAAACAGTTTATGAAGCCAGCAGAAGCTATTCTTGCTGATTCCTGAACGTAATGGCGATACATTTAAGCTTAAGTTTACGATAACAGGGTGGGCAGTTGCTTTTCTGGCACATACAAAAGCTTTCAATGAATTTGACTGGTGTTCTATTATTCTACTCTTCTCAAAATACAGCAGTAATAAAAACAGCATTTATTGGACACTTTGTATATTAGTTTTCTAGAACTGCCATAACAAAGCACCACAAACTTGAGTAGCTCAAACAACAAAAATTTATTGGCTGATAGTCCTGGAGGTTAGAAGTCTGAAATCACGTTCTCGCCATGGTTGGTTCCCTCCAATGTTTGTGAGGGAGAATCCTCCAGGCCCAGTTCCTTGGTTGTAGATCACCATCTTCTCCTTTTGTCTTTTCACATCATCTTTCCTCTACAAGTGTTTTTAGTGTTTAAATTTCTTCTTTTATAAGGACATGTCCTATTGGATTAGGGCCCACCCTAATGACCTCTTTTTCACTTGATTACTTCTGTAAGGATCCAATCTCCATTTAAGGTCACATATGGAGTTACTGAGGGTTAGAACTTAAACATATGAATCTGGGAGATTGGGGTGGAGGGACATACAAAGGCATCTCCTGGACCCTCCCAGGGTGGGCGAGTCTTAAATTACAAATCTAAGATTCCAATCTTGCTAAGCCTTTGAATTCCTTCCTCTACAGTAAACCAAGGCAGTTCTGGTATTTCTAGCTAAATCACTCTGGGCCACCTTTTAGTCCATATGTTTGTAAACCAACCAAGCAACCAACCAATCAACCAACCAATTAAACCATAACTCCCTGAGCTGCAGCATTAAAAGCACAATGTCTGCTTAGAGCCTATCTCAACAAATTTGGCCTGATCCAAATGTATGTTCCTTTCACCGTTATCCCACAACTTAAATATCTATTCACACATATATTCCCAGAATTTTTGTATATATAAATTAGAAAACTCAAGTAGTTCTTTTGGAGTATAGAGTAGTTCTCATGGGTCATGCTTTGTATCTCACCTTTGGTCACTTGCTGTACTTGAGTCTAATTATAGGTTTAATTTCAAAGAGTGGTGGAGGGGGTCAGTCCTGAGGGGAGTTAGCATTGTCTTGCATGACAACTACCTCTGGATTAATCTCAAAGGGGGGTGGAGAGGCCACTCCTGGCAAAGAAGACTCATCAGAATTCAGGGGCTCAGTGTCCCCAGCTTCGTGATTGTCTTCCCACATGGCCCCATTCCACATTACAGGATGATATTCCTTTCCAGTCAATGCCCTCACACACAGCAAATAACTTGGGAGCCTGGGAATTCAGTTCGTGTTGTAATTCAGTCACTCGCAGGATGAGATCTGGGTTTGTTTTTCAGTGATCTCAGCCCTGTGCCTATGAGAGATGAGGGTCATTCTCAGGGCAGGCATAGAAGCTTTCAGGCCATTTATGTGGTGCGTGAACTAGGCATTTTAACCCCTGAGCCCATCCTTCTCTTTCTTCACTATGTTCAGTGATGTTAACAGCAGCCAGTCAATCTCATTATATTTGTTATTTTCACAAAAATGTTCAAAGGTATCATATACATGATCACCTACATCCTGTACTGCTTGATTATGATTATCCAATTGTGATATTTTCTATATTTCCATTGCCGCATCCCACTGTGGGCTGTCAGTGCTTTCTTTACTACTTGAAATAGTCATTAGTGTCTTTAAATCTAACAAGAATAGAGATCCAATTCCAGAAAACTCAGAAACAATTCAGAAAACTCATATTAAAAAGTATGTTCCCACATAGTCACTCTCAGAACCAA